TGCTGGCGAGCGACATGCGCAGGCGGACCCCCGCAGCTGTTCCACGCGCAGCGTCGCCGCCCAACTCGCGCCGCCGCGCGAAGACAAAGCCGCCAGCGCGCTGCCAGAATACGTCCACATCCACTGCCGCAGGGGGGGTGCGCACCCGGAGCTCGGCGAGCAGTAGACATGGATGCCTACGCGCCCAATTTGGGCGGGCAAACAAAAAAAAGCGCCCAGCTGACTAAACTGGCCCAACTGGCCGACTTCCGTCGGCCCCCCAGCGTTCTCCCGAAAACGTCTTCACCGATCCCCATGTCCCCCCTGGCATAGCCTTGGCCCACATGACCGACTGCCGTCGGCCCCACGGCCCCGTAGCGGCGGACGCGGGCATTGCCCTGGCGGTGGAGTACACCCTGCGAAATGCTTAAGAAATCATGGGTTAAGAAATTCATAGTCTCAGAAATGGAATAAAACCCAGAACTTCTATTTAAATCTTGGGACTTACATTGAAACGTTAAGAATAATCGAGACTCTGGACGAAAACGTAGGTTTTCTTAAGCATCGCCTAAGGTGTAGGGCCGAGTTCGGCCGCAGCGGCTGGCCCACGAGGCCCTCCTCGCCGCCGCGGGGGGGGGCAGGCAGGGCGCTGCGCTCTCGGGCCCGGGGCCAGTTCACCCGGAGCTCCCCGAGCGGTCTGCTCACCGACGCACGGCCGCCACCGGCTTGCCCAGACAGGCAATAGAATCCATGACATCTGCAGTCGGGGCGTCGACCTAAGGAACCCTAAATAAGGAACGGGGCCCCTTTGTTTCCATAAGTTGAACTTCAATTTCCGATCGAAAACGGAAGGAAAGCCTGAGGCAAGCTGTGAAACACTTAAGGAACGCGGAGCCCCTCCCCGACAAAAAGGGTTCCTTCTTCAGGGCCCCGACTGTGCAGCGCGACCAATCGGGAGCTCATCGGCGGCGGCCTGTCCTGCGGCCAGCACGCCAAACGCAGCGAGAACGGCGGCGCGCAACGCCCAGCAGTAACCGCTCACCCGGGGAAGGGTCTGAGACGGATTGCCGAGCCGAGCGCTGCACATCTGACCCCCAGACATTGCTCGCGTAGTGCTGCAGACAGGCCAAGGCCGAAGCCAAAGCCCGCCGCTGTAGCCAACGGACTACGGCGTCGATAGCGCGCCCTGCGCTTCCAGAAGATAGCACCACGCAAGTTAGGCGAAGCGCTTGCCGCGGCGCGTGCTCGAGCGCGGTGAACGAGCGCACTGCGCAAGTAAGACTTGCCACATGACATCCCACGCCCATGAATCCCCGGAGAAGCTGTCATCGCGTGGGCTTTGGCACGAACGCATCGGGCATGATGGAGGGGCCGCCCCGTGACGGGTGGGCCCCGACGTAATCGCACTGCAGAGGTCACAAGATGGTGCCTGAAACGAGCGCAGGCAAGCCGCCGCCCCGCAAAACGCATCGCGACGCACGCGCGTCTCACGCCTCCCGGAGCGAGCCTGCCTGGCGCGGACCCCGCGCCCCGACCCGCGGCGGCCGCAGCCCTGGAGGCTCGCGCCCTCCTCCCGGGTAAGAGCTTGCCATCGCTCGGACGTCCATTTCCCGTGCGTTTTTCGGTTTCGTGCGTGGCTTTCTTCGCCAAATGATCAAGGATGCTTCTCGATGGTCCTCGCCGAAGGAAAAATGCACACGTCCGAGCGATGCCAGGAGAGGGGGGGGCCTGCTCGGAGCCCAGCGGGGGTGGAGGCCGCCCGGGCCCCTCCCCCAGAGTGGCAAGGGGTGCGCGCGGGCCTCTGGGCGCGCGCGCGCGCCTCCAGGCTGAAGCGAGGGCTCGAGCCGGAATGCGCCCCGCCCCAGCGAGGCGCGAGTAGGGGGCCACATGCGAACCCTACCCCTACCCCCCACGATTTCTGAGGGGGAGGGTGGGGTTCACTTCATTCGGGAGGTCACGAGCGAAGTGAACCCCACCCTCCCCCTCAAAAATGGTGGGGGGTAGGGGTAGGGTTCGCTTGTGGCCCCCTAACGAGGGAAACCTCTTGGTGCCCCTGCTGGCAGTGGCCCCCGAGACTCTGGCCGAAGACTGCCGTGCGTCTGGGCGGCGGTGCCACGCCGCAGGCCAGAGACTTCGCAACTCCGCGACACTGCGACGCCCACGGAGGCAGCCACCTCCCCAGTGCCTCGGCAGAGACGAGGACGAGAACGAGGAGGACAGGGGGAATTGGTTGGTCGGGCACTGCATCTCGGAGAGTCGGGGAAGGATTCCAGCAGGGCAGCGGTCGATACCGCTCGGCATGCTGCATGCAAGCGGCTAGCCCAGGCATGGCAGCACGGCCGAACGGCCCTGGCACAACGAGCGGGGAAGCGCCGAAACCGGACACGGCGAGGGGAGGGCGAGCGCGCGAACAGGGAAGGGGAAGAGCCGAGAGGAGGAAGACCGAATTCGATGGCCCGAATTACAATTCCGAAACACCAGAAGCTCGGCTCCACGATGCTGAATGCCTGCCCCCCCATAGCAAAGAGGCATGATAACCTGCGGCGGCAGCGTCAAAGCACGCAATGGAAAAAGGCGAACACAATCGGACGTTCGGAAAGACTCCTGCTGAGTGCCGCAAGACGGTCCAACGGGACCGCGAGTCTGTCCATGTCCCCGCAGACCATCAGGTCGAACAGCTTGTTGACTATCTTGTGGCCGAGGCGAGCGATTGTCCTCTTGCGCTTGACCGCCTGGGCTGTGTTCTCCAATTTCCAGGATTGCGCCCACTATCTCGCGCGGGAGTCCACCCGCGGCCTGACGAGATGCGGGGTCGTCCACCAGGGCCTCGTGCGCGTCCTCACCATCCATGCGTGTCCACGAAGCTGAGCGAGCTGCTCCTGGTGGCGCATGCCCTCCTTCCTCCGCCAAGGTGTTCCGCACAGTCTGGGTGCCGCGCATTGGGTGGGGCTTGAGGGTTAGGGCGCGCGGGGCCAGCTCGTGGCAGACCTGGATCTTCTTACTCATCGCCATGAAATGTCTCTTCTCCGCGTGCTTGATCGGCTCCTCCCAAGCCTCCGAAACCAGGTGAATGCGCTCTGCGGAAATCTCTGAAGCTCCGGACGTGTCGGTCTCAGGTCTCGCCGATTGCGGGTTCCTCCTTGGCGTCCTGGATGGCTGCGTCGGAGATGGTCTCGATGGACGGCGGCGCGTGCTGGTCCCCCCTCACTCTTCGTGTCGCCCGTCTTGCCGAACGTCGTTGCGTTGCCGATGGCGGGCTCGATGTCCGTCTCTCCCTCCAGCCGCCAAAGTTCCTGCAGCATCTCGGGGTCGGTGGCGAAAGCCCGCGGGGTCGCCATGGAAGGATCGATCTCTGGCTCGACGGATCCCTTGGTCGAAGGATTGCAAAAAAACCCTTTGCAATGGATTGCAAAAAAACCCTTTTGCAATCCTGGGTTTTTTTGCAATCCTTTTTTGCAATCCTGGGTTTTTTTGCAATCCTGGGTTTTTTTGCAATCCAGGGTTTTTTTGCAATCCTGGGTTTTTTTGCAATCCTTTGCAATCCTTCGTTCAAGGAACGGGTGTCATCAATCCGTTCGTCCTCCGACTCCTCGGCGCGGCGCGTGGCCTGCGGCAGCTCAGCGTCGGCGTCCACTGGGCGCACGAAGGCTCCTGCAACTTTGTGGCATCTCCTCGACCTTGTTTCCCGTCCATTCTGCCGTCGGGGATCTTCTGACCCGGGTCAATCCAGACCCGGGTCAGCGGGAAACCAAAAACTGCAATGCAGGAAAAAAAAGCTGCAACGCAGGTCTTCGCAAACCCGGGTCAGCCAATATGTGCGGCCGCCTCGCGGCCACGAGCGGCTCCCTGACCCGGGTCAGCCAGAGGGGGTCTTCGCAGGATCCTGCAAGATCCGGCGCTCTGGCTGACCCCCGTCTGCACTGACCCCCGTCTCTTAGGCCCCGATGCCGCGCCACGTCCCCAGGCCCGGGCGCCAGCGCGTCTTGCACCAGACAGGCGCTCGTCGAGCGCCTCAGCTGCTGGTGGAGGATGCGTAATTCTGTCACGATGGCCTTCGCCTCGTGTCGGGGATGGACAGACCCCCCTTTAGTAAAACGTGGTTTAGTGAAAACGACCTAAGGCCCAAACCTGGCGGGCGCAAGCCTGGAAAATGACGGCCACGGCGCCCCCTCGAGAACCGAAAGCGGACAAGTCACTAATCGACATGTCACTGCTGGGGGTTCTGTCCACCCCCGATCGTGGTAGAGGTCCTTGGTGGCCCGACGAGCCACATTAGGGGCGCTGCTGCTCACGAGAGTTCTCACAGTGATAGTGTAGCCGGAGCCTACAGAGGCCACGGCAGCCTGCCAGGGCGGCAGCACCGGATCTGGCGCGGGCGTGGTAGCTCACAGTGTGCCTGGAGCCAAATTGGCTACAGGGGGGATGGGGAGGAGAAGGGGGAGGACAAGAAAGAGGAGGAGGAGGAGGAGGAGAAGGAGGAGGAGGAGGAGGAGGAGATAAGGAGGATGAGGGAGGGAGGGAGGGAGGGAGGGAGGCGGAGGAGGAGCCGGAGGAGGAAGAGCACCTCGCACGCCAAGGTTTTGCGATAGTGGCATGAAGCAGAAGGCCATGGGGGAAGAGGAGGGGGAGGCGGAGAAAGAGGAGGAGAAAGAGGAGGAGCAGGGACGGAGGAGGAGCAGGGAGGGAGGGAAGCGGATGAGGAGGCAGAGAAAGAGCACCTTGGGCGCCAAGGTTTCGCGACAGTGGCATGACGAATAGAGACGGGCCTCCTGTCGGCCACAGCTGCGCCCAGCCTTGCGAGGAGCAACCGAAGAAAAACCGAACGGAGGACGCAAGGTACCCAAAACCGCTTCCGAAACCAACGGGGCCCTTGCACATTGGCCGTAGAAGCGATTGTGAACCTACTCCTGTCGCAGCTCCCACCGTTGCAGAGAAGAGAACGGAGGACCAAGAGGGGGACGAGGAGGACGAGGAGAAAACGAGGTGGCTATCTCAGAAGCAGGGGCTCGAAAGAAGAGCGCGTCCTCCACTCGTCGGCCGCGTCGTGGACCCAGCTGCGCGGGGCCGCCACGGACGTCTCGAAGGAGCCGTCCTCCGCACGCAGGGGCACCCGCGGCAGGATGGACACCTCGACGGTGGACAGCTGCGACCTTGGGGGGGGGAGCGCAGGACGGGCAGGGAGAGTAGGTCTGCGAAGGGGCCCTGGGACACACAAGTAAATGGACACAGATAGCAGGATTCCCCTATTTCCCTACATCTTCTGGGTCTTCGTCTTCCCCCACACTTACCATAGTTTCCCGTATTTTCCTGGGGGTCGACGATTCATTGTGTCTGTGTGTTTTTTCCCCTCCTGAGTCTCGAGGCCTTCCGAATCAGGCTGGAACGGATAGGGTCGGAGGGTCGCGCCGCGTCGCCCGGTGGCCTGGAGGGGCAGAGGAGAGGACCAGAAGGAGGCACCGCGGCCAAACAGGATAGAACGCCCGAGGACTCCCACGCCAGGCCGCTTCCCCACCGGCACAGGCACGCAGCACTGCTGCGCTCGTGGGCGGGCTCCCGAAGAGGAATGTACATCCACGGATCTGCGTCGTTGCTGCACTGGCCGGGAAAGCCCACCCCCAACGTCCGTGCGTCCCCTGCCCGGTGTGCCGCCGCAGCCCCGCCCGGTGTGCCGAGCAGGGCCCCCCTTGGCGGCACGGCACGCTCGCCTTCTGCACCGGCGAGCCCTCTTGCCTGCGCACCGCGTGGCGCAGGGCGGCTGACCTGACCTGACCTGCTGGGGGCCCACTGGAGGGCGGCGGATGCTGACGCGTTCCCGTCACACGGGGGCGAATCTAGTCCTACACGTATACCTATGCGGACCGTTGTGGATGCCATGACAATGGATGCCATGGTAATGACCATTGAAGTATAGATGTGCTTAAAATGTGTAAAACATGTTCTAAGCATGTTTCAAACATTTTGATATGCCAAACGTGTTTGAAACATGCTTTAGACATCTGGAAATGATTTGGCAGCACGCCTCCTCTCCATTAATCGACTTCCACATGCGTATCGACCCATACAAGCGATAGCCAGAGAGGGAGACAGAAAACAGAAAGAGATAAAGAGAGAAAGAGAGAGAGAGAGAGAAAGATCCGTAGCCATTTCGGTTCAAGGCGCTCCGTCTTTCAGGCGTGGCCGGCCCACGCAGCAGTTGTGGGTGCCCCCCCAGACTGTCGGCGGGAGCGCGCGTAGGCGCGACGGTGGCGGCGGCGGCGGCGGCCGACGCCATGGATGGCGGCCCCCCCTGCACACCATCTGGGCCCCGGCTGAACTGGGAGTCTGGCGTAGGCCCCCTCCCCGGCCCTGCTGCGCAGACTCGCCGGCGCCCGTGGAGACCCGAGTGTGAGCACCCCGCGCTTTTTGCGGTCCGGAGCGCGCCGCGCGCGGACCCCCCGCGGATCGCGCGCAGGGGGCCGCACCCTTCGCCAAGAGGTTTGACGAACCAACAACACACACCCATACCCATAGGGGGGTCGGAGAGGGCTGTGGGTGCGTGTTGTCGGATGGGGGTCCCCGCTCGAACGGGAGCTTTCCCCGGGGTCCGACAACCCGCACCCAAACCCATAGCCAGTCCTCCTCCCAACGACCCCCCTATGGGTACGGGTGTGCGTTGCTCGTTCGCCAAGAGGTTGCCCCTCCCGCCGCCACCAGAGGCAGCAGCGCGGTCCCGACGCTTCGGCGCCGGGCCTCGGCCCGCCACGCGGAGGCGCCAGCAGCGCCACGGGCCAAGCGGCAGCAGCAGCTGCCTGGCCTTCCCTCGGGCGTTGGCAGAGCTGGGTTTCGTGGAACCTGGTTTAGTGATTTGCACCGGGGGCGCCCCCCCCGTCCCGTTTCCACGAACCGGAACTGCCGTCACCCGAAAAGCACCAGTCACGGCAAACCTGGTTTAGTGAATCTGGCCAATTGAAGGGCCCCAGGCCCTACCACTTACCGGGTCCCCTTACCCGGGGTCCTGGCTATACCCGACTCCCGCGCCGACCCCTCCGACGAAACCCCTTTGGGATGCGAGCCAGGAGCAGCAGCCGCGGAAGCGAGCGGACGCTTCTGCCACGAGCCAGCGCAGGTTCGGATCTCACACACTGCCTCGCCTGACGAGGCTCCAACGCACGGCTATTCGTGCAGCTGAGCGTATCACACAAAGTCAAAACGGATGTCAAACTCGTCCAGCTTCTCCTAGGCGGGCGCAGCCTCCCTGGAGTGGATTCGGCAACTTATGCCGCAACTCACTCCGAGTGGAGATCCTGCCTACACAAAACGCGAAATCAGTTCTCAGCAAAGTCATCGGATCCATCCGAATCTACAGCACTGAAGCGATGAGAATTGAACGGAGGAGAGACCGAAAGAGCGAGAGAGAGAGAGAGGGGAAAACAAAAGAGGAACCTCCAACACTACCACCACCACCGCCGGAGGCGCCTGCATGGGGCCCCAGGTGCCGATCCAAGAAATCCGCGTGGAGCGCCAAACGTTTATGTTTATGGCGTTCTTTCTTTCTCGACCCTTCCCACTTCCCCCCTCGCTCGCCGCCGACCTTCTCCCCGCTCAGGCGCCCTCCCAAAGTGCGACTGGTGCCGCCTCGGTCGGCGGCGGAACTCCGCGAGTTCCCACGGCGACGGGACCCGTCGCCAATCCACGCCCCCATTGATCCATGTGTTGCGATCGCCCGACTCTCACTTCCCCCCTCGCTCGCCGCCGACCTGCTCCCCCTTCCGCCGCCCTCCCCTCCTCACCCTCGCCGTCCTTCCGCCTTCCTCCCCCATCCCTCCACGGCGGCGGAAAGGTCCATGCAAATAGAGCACACATGGGGAGCTCCACGCAGTGAAAAATATTGTGCATTCGGGGAAGGCTTCGAAAACTTGTCAGAGGGCCAGGGGACTTCCGAACCTTCTGAGAAGGCCTTCTCCCTTAGAAGAAAAAAACGCCATCCCTCCTCCTGCATCACTCCTCTTCGTCGTTTCGAAGCCCCCCATCTTCGTGCCTCCTCCTCCTCCTCCTCCTCCTCCTCCTCCTCCCCCCTTCCGCCGCCCTCCCCTCCTCACCCTCGCCATCCTTCCGCCCCCTCGCTCGCCGCCCCCTTCCGCTCGCCGCCGACCTTCGGCCCCCCTCGGCCGCCCTGCCCCCTCCTCGCCCCTCCGCCGCCCCCCCCCCCCCTCCGCGTGCCTCCAGACTGGCGGCGCGCGCTCGCCCCGGGAGAGCGCGCGGGAGCGCGGGCCCGCGAGGAGGCAGGGGGGGGGGGGGATCCGTGGGCCCCCCCCCCCCCAGACCCAGACCCCCTCGCGCTGCGACAGCAGAAACAGAAGCAACGGCATGTAGACACGTAGGCTTCTGGCGCTCCGCGCGGACTTCTCGGATCCGCGCTGGACCCCGCGCCAGGGGCGGCGCCGCGGGGGGGGAGGGGCCTGGCGCCGATCCCAAATCCGCGCGGAGCGCTCAAAGTTTATGTCTATGACGTTTTTTCTCCTTCGGGGCAAGAACCACGACTGAAGGATTTTCGCTCTTTGCGGCCTCTGGGGGGCTCTTCCCCGGCCCCGGGGGCCGTCAAGAGACGCCTCGGGATGAGAAGCCGGTCCCGGGGAAGGGGTCCAGACCTCTGGTGGTCGACGCTGTGAGGAAACCGCAGCGTCGGGGGTCCGGAGGCGCCCCCCCCCTATGCAATGGAAGGGGCCCTGGGACACGCAAAGAAATACACACACACAAATAAAATGGTTCCCCCGTATTTTCCCATATCTTCTGGGTTTTTGCATTCCCCCCCCCCAATTCCCAGAGTTTCCCATATCTTCTGGGGGGTCGACGATGCACTGTGTCTGTGTGTTTTTTTCTCCCCCCCTGTGCAGTGCATGCAGGCCGCCTCTCTCGCCCTCGCTCTGCCCCGCCCCATGGCGCGCCGCGCCCGCGGCTGCCCCTGCCACCCCGCCCTCGATGATTGGCGGCGCGCAGAAGGGGGGGTAGGGGGGAGGGGGGAAGGCCTCTCAGAAGCACCCCTGCTTCTTAGAAGGCCTCGGCCTGACGTCCATAGAGAAGGCCCGCGCCTTCTAAGAAGCAGGGGTGCTTCTAAGAAGCCTTCCCCCCTCCCCCTACCCCCCCTCTGCGCGATGCCGAGAGGAGCCGATCGTCCACCACCGCTGCCATAGGCAGGAGAGGGGGGAGGCGAGGGAGGGGGAGGAGGAGAGGACCCAGACCTCCAACGTATTGAAAAAAACAAGGTGAAGGTTTTTCTCGACTTTCGGCCTCTAGGGGCCCTCGCCGGGCCCCGGGGCCGTCAAGAAACGATTCAAGATGAGAAACTGGTCCTGGGGAGTAGGTCGAGACTTCGGGGGACCGCGTATTGAAAAAATCACGACGTCGGATCTCTGGGGAGGAGGATCTCCCCATCCTCCCTTCTCCCACGGCCGACACATGGTAGCGGCGGTGCAGAAGACCCGTCGGCCACGGCCGTGGTCGGAACCCCTCTCCCCCAGCGCCACGGCGGCTGCATCGGCCGCGGGCCCGAGGAAGAGCCGCCCCCGGGCAAGAAGGCGGAGAGCTCTCGCCCACAGCCACTGCGCCGACGGCGCTGGACAGGGCTGTGTTCTGTGTTCGTTGTCCCTCGCTTTTGTCTCGAATCCGCCATTGCCGCACAACGAGGTCGAAACGAAAACGGCCCACGAAATCACCAAACAAAACACCGTTTGGGTGCAGCCCCGGCGCTGGACGGCCCGCTCAGCTGCGAGTGCGGACACCAGGCCGTCGGCGGGACAGCCCTTACTTCCGATCGAAGGCCCCCCCTCACCTCTACTTCGGCCAGGCCCCCGATGTAGAGCGCTCATTGGATCCGTAGCCGGCCGCTCCGCGGCTGGTGGGGAGGTGATCTGTACGCAAACCTGCGGCGTGCGACTCTCGCAAAGAGAGGGGTTCCTGCCAGCGTTTGCAACGATGCTGGACGTGTCGCATGCTCCGGAAGTCTTCTCCTCGTCTACCCTCACTCCTGCTCCCCCCTGGTTCCATCTCCCGCTCGGTTCGCTCTCCACCATTCCTCCTGCCTCGCCACGCCTTCCCATCGACCGATTTCCCGCGTCCTAGCCCCGCGACCAGACGAACGGCGAGGGTTCATTCAGCAAGCGCCCCCCAGGGCCCATCCTGTCGCAGCAACCCTCGAAACAGTGTCAGGAGGTCAGGATGGCGTGACTTCACGAAGAACCCCGACCAACCCTCCCCCTCCCGATCCTCCTCCCTCACCCTGGTCGCGGACCCAACCTCTAGACACATGGTTCAGGATTACCGTCAAACTCACGACAGATCATGCGACAGAACTTCGCAATGGCTCAGGATTCAGGTCGATGCAGAATATCGTGGCCGCAAATGATGTTAACCACCACGTTTTAGAACCTGACCATGGGCTGGCGGCTCTACCACGACCAGGCCAAACGAATTCTGACGACCAGGCGGATCATGCACGGAGGACAGCAAGGAGATCCGCAAGCGCTAGCACTGCTATATAAGTCTCTGGCTCCGAGCCCTCGGCCCTGCTGCCGGCGGAGAAGGAGGCGTAAGAGTGATAGAGTCGGGGGCCCGCCGCCAGCCCGGCCACGTGAGCCCGAGCAGCCCCCCAACGGGTTCTCGGGACTCCCCCGGGTGCTCCTGGGCCTTGCACGCAGGAGGGGCGCAGGGCATCTGAGGACCCACGGGTCGTGTGGAGCCCCCTCTGTTCGCTGTGTGTAGCTCCGCGGCGACTGCGACGACGGCGACGACGTCGAATGCGACGACGACGACGACGACGACGACGACGACGACGACGCCACCGTCCGCGAGCTCCCCGACGCCAAGGGGGCGTGCAGGCCTGGGGGAGCTCGGCCTCGCACACCCCAGCCGCATGTTCGCGTAGAAGGTGTCGTCGCAACTGGCAGCGGCGCCGGGGACTCGGAAGGCAATGCGGGTCCGCTTCGGGCCACAGAGGCTCGAGTCTGAACCCAGAGGCACTCTCTGAGGCTCTGCACAGCTACCCGCCAGTACTTCGGCCCCGCCCAGAGACCAGCAAACACGCAGCAAAAGCATGTCGATTATTGACGTAGGAAGGCGCTTGAAGTAGATTTGGATCTGAGGATCCACAGGTACCTACTTTCAACGACTGGCGTGTAGGTAGACTATGGCATGCCCCAAGGTGTGTTCGGTGATTTCGACGGAGCACTGGCCACACGCAGCGAAAGCAGCACAGATATTTCAATCAGCACTTGATCGTCCATGCTGCTGGTTATCATCGGTGTCTGAATTCGTGCTGCTTCCGTTCAGAAGAGGGGAAGCTGCGTCCCCGACGGGGGCAGAGATAACGGAGAGGGGGACAGAAGAGGGCAGGAGGGCGAGGGGGGACTCACTCCTGCGACAAAGAGCTTGCGCATGAAAACTGTTCGACTATTCATAACGAATTACTGTGGCCCAGCGTGTAAGCCATCGTTGAACAGTGTAACGTACGGCAAATGCCTGCCTTGACGATGTCGGCTTTGCTGTCTAGTAACGCGTGAACTGGTCTTTCTTGGAAATGTCATATCTCGAAGGCCCCCAGCGGCTGTCGACCCTATCTTTCGCAAGGATTTCGCCGCACGGACTGATTTCTAGTGGTCCGTGGGCCTGAAAAGCCCCCAGGGGGGCTCAAGCTTGACCCGCGCCGGCGTAAAATTGTTCATGGTCATGCGCTCTCTGCGCGGCCTCCCAAACTGGGTCCGAGTAGATGGGGTTGGAGGGTCGCGCCGCATCGCCAATGCATCGCCGATGCGTCGGCGGAGGTCACTTCCAAAGATGGCTCTGCCGGCCAAAGAGGGAAGGCGGAAACCAGAACCAGAACACGGAGACTGGAAGCCGGAAACATGCAAGCGGGAGACTCCCCGGGCAGAGACCGGAATCGGGAACTGGGAAGCGGAAAGCGGAAAACAAACAGCGGGGGGGGTCCCCAAATTTGGACGCCCGACATGGGTACGGAAAGAATGGGTACAATGCCCAAGAGCAGTTCCTGTTCATTTTGAACCGGATTCGCTGTCCACGCCGCCGCGGCCTGTGTCCATTCGAGACAGAAGGCCGCCTGCCCAACAGCGGCCGCTGTTGGTTTGGGACAGCATTTGTTGTTGGGCATTGTACCCATTCTTTCTGTACCCATTTCGGGCGTGCAAACCAAATGGGGGCCCGAACCGGAAACCGGGAACCGGAAAACGGAAAGTGGGAGCACGGAGTTCCCTGGGCAGCAGAGACCGGCACCGGAGAGAGGGAAACCAAAACCCAGCAAAAATCGGAAATCCGAAACCGCAAACCGCAAACCCGAAAGCGGAAGCCAGGGAGCGGAAACCGGAAACCGAAAACTGGAAACCGGAAACCCGAAAGCGGAAAGCGGAGAGCGGAAACCCGAGACTGGAAAACGGAAACCCGAAACTGGACAACGGAAACCAGAAAGCGGAAACCGCAAATTGAAAACCAGAAGTCCAGAAACAGAAACCAGAAGTCGGAAGCAGAACAGGACATATGGAGCCCGACTTCCCCCCAGAACAAAAACAATTGTCTTCCCCTTCTCTCTCCTCGGAAGGAAACTTCCCCCTCCTCGTTCTCCTCAGCCCTCCTTCCTCCTCCTCTTCCTCCTCCTCCTCTTCGCTTCCCCTCCCAGCGTTCCCTCCTGTTCCTGCTCCTGCTCCTGCTCCTGCTGCTGCTGCTGCTCATCCTCCTCCTTCCCCACTCACGTCCTCCCTCCTCCTTCCCCCTTCAAGTAGGTCGCAGTCGTATCATGACCTTGGGACTCTCGAAAAGGCACAAGCCGAAACAAAACAAACCTACCAGCTTTGTAAACACCTTTGGAAAAGTAAGACATGTGAGCGGAGGAGAAGACGCCGAGACCCGTGACAGCACCCAGGGCGCCCTGCAAAGAGAAGGAAGAATCCTCCAACACGCCCAGGATGGCTGCCAATGCGTCCCCAAGACTCAGCCAAAATGGCACCAAGACGGCCCGACGTTGCCCCAAGATGGCCCATGCCGGGCCCAAAGATCTTCCAAGAGGACCCCAAATCTGCCCAGAAAGCTTTCAAGAGCGCCCGAAGCAGCCAATGAACACGCAAGCGGCGACCGGTGGAATCGCCGAAACGCCAGTTGTTTTACAGCTGTTTTGGGTGAGCAGACTTGGTGCGTGCCACGCCTTGCGGGGCCAAGTTTGTTCACCCATCTCCTGCGTAATATACATATATAGATGTCTGAATACACACATGCACACACACATATATATATATATATATATATATATATATATTCATAGATTCATATCTTCATACATTCACATATTCATATTAACTGGAACCCCCTCCCTTCCCACCACCCACCCCTAAACTGGACCCTCCCCCAGGGACGCCCTGGACGCCCTTGCGGACGTCTCGGCGGCCCTCAGGGCGCCATTGGGGACAGGTCCGCTGGCCCTTTCCGGGCCTCCCAGGGCGCCTTGCAGGGCCCTCCGAGCAACTCAAAGCGATCGATGGGGTCCTCGGGGAGGCGCAAGAAGGAGCCCAAGACAGCACAAGGGCGCTTCAAGAGGAACCCCGATGGTCCGAAGACGGCCCACGAGGCCCCCAGGACGCCCCAAGAGACCGTTAAGAGAGCCCCAAAGAAGTAAAAATCGTCTCATCCCTTGAAGAATATGTACATGTTTAGCATATCCGCTTTTTGGGTCTTCGCAGGTGGGCCCCCTACCCCAAGACGGCCCATGAGGCCCCCCAGAGGGTTTGAAGACGGCCCAAGAGGGCGCCAAGGCTGCCCCAGAGAGCCCCGAGACTCTGCCCACAAAAAACCCAAGATGCATCCAGAAGGCTCCCAAGAAAGACACACGAAAGCCATGGGAGACCCCCAAGGAGGCCATTGGAGGCCCCAGCTCCCCAAGACGGCCAAAGAGGGCCCCAGGACGGCCCAACAGAGCCCAAACTACGTCCAGACGGCATTCTCCGTGCGCTCGTCGCGCTCACGCCAGCCCACCTGCCTTTCCCATACCTCTATCACCCTCTCTCCCTCACTCTGTTTCTCTCCCTTCCCCCCCGCCTTCTTCGTCGACCCCCACGTTCGTGGCATCCGATGGCCATCCTCATTCGCCCGCTCCTTCCTCTGGACCTTCTCCCCGTTTCTGCCCTCCTTTCCGTCTCTTCAGCCCCCCCTCATCCCGGCTCCCTTCCCGTTCCCCGTTCACGGACAGGTGCCATCGCAACAGTTTCGTCGTTTGCCAGCACCTTTGCGCGCGAAAAAATCACCCTTCCTCCCTCACTCCTGCGCACAAGCGTGCAAACGCATCCGGCGAACGCGGTGCCAGCAGGCACCAGGAACATCAGAAAAATGATCCGATCGCCCGTCCAGGCCTCGAGGCCCCCCCTGCTGAAGCACGCGATGATGTATTGCTTTGCCGGGGAAGCGTCCGGAACAAGGCGCTTGGCGCGAAGCACCAATGCTGTCTTGCATGTGTATATATATATATATGTATGAATATATGTATGTATATGTATATATATAGATATGTATAAATACATATATATATATATATATATATATACATATATAGATATGTGTGTATACACATATGGATGTGGTTCAGAAGTTTGGCTGGCCGCATGGGGGCCGCCGCGGGGCCCTCTTGGGGCCCTTTGGGGCCACGACGGCCGCCAGTGCGCCTCCAAGACAGCCGAGAGGGCACCGAGGCGGCCCGGTACCTCCCCGGAGCAGGCCCACGACGGCCCCCCAAAGCTCCCCAAGAGGACCCCGAATCGGCCCGAAGAACCTCCAGGAGCGCCCGAAGAGGCCAAAAGGAAAACAAGCGGCGACCGGAGGATCTGCCGAAGCGCACGCTTTCTCACGGAACTCGGCTGGTGTCAAGCATTGCGAGGCATGGTTCGTTCACTCATGTCCTGCGTAACAAAAACATGCGGTTTAGAAGCCTGGTGAGAGTATGCTGGCCACTTTGGGCCCTCTTGAGGCCCTCTTGGGGCGTCTCCCAGCTCGCTTGGGCGCCTCCTCGGACGCAATGCAATGCAATGCAATGCAATGCAATGCAGCTTTAAGCAATGCAAAGCAACGCAATGTAAAGCAATGCAAAACATCCTGCTGGCTTCAACTGCCCCCGAACTATCATCGCCCGCTGGCTTCAAACAGCCCCTTTGAAATGTCCTCACCCGCAGGATTAAGCAACTGCCCTGAAACATCCTCACCCCCCTTTGCCTTAAAAACTGCCCCCCCGAAGTATCCTCACCCCCCCCGTGGGTTAAAATCTGCATCCGATACATCCCCCCACACACTGGCCTTGAACTGCCCCCCAAAGATCTGCACACACACACACACACACACACCTGGCTTGAAACTGCCCCCTCAGTTCAGTGTACCTCGCGATAAGCAAATTACGAGCTGCGCCTGTAAATCACAGAAAAGCTGTTTCCGCAACAGCGCAGGAGACAGCGAGTGAAGTGTCCTCAGGCTTTTGTTTCTACGTCTTTGTATGCGGTGTTGTAGATGCTGGGTACTCTGTAAGTGGCAGAGACCCATGCGTAAATTTCGGACGCTCTCGACGTGGTAGCGCGTTTTGCTGGCCTTCCCGCATGACTTGTTTCTCTGACCTATCTGGACGTCCTCGGAGCCATTTGAAGGTCACTCGTGAGCGTGCTGGCGATTTCGAGAGTCGTCTCTGGGCAGCAAGCTCCAAGTGTCTATCTGCGTTCCCCCTCTCGGGCTCCCCTTGGAATTCTCTTGAAGAGCTCTTGGGCAGGCGCGGGGGCCTTCGAAGGCCGTCAGAAACTGAAAACCGGAAACGGAGAGCGGAAAACGGAAAACAGAAAACGGAAACTGAAAAACGAAAACCAACAAACGAAAAAGAGGCAACGGAAAACGCAAACTGGGAACCCGAAA